CAGCTTATGATGCAATAATAACATCAGTTGAGAATGAACAAGGACGATTATTTTTTATAAATGAATATGGTGGTACTGGCAAGACATTTCTGTGGAATACAATAATTTCCAAGCTCAGATCACAATCAAAAATAGTTCTTCCCATTGCTACTTCTGGAATAGCAGCTTTGTTATTGCCAAATGGTAGGACCGCTCATTCGCGCTTCCATATTCCTTTGGACGTTACTGTAGAATCCACTTGTGAAATAAAACAAGGCACCCAGTTAGCTGAACTTNCTTTTGAGAACTTCTTTAATCATTTGGGATGAAGCCCCCATGGCAAATAAGTTATGTTTTGAAGCATTAGATAAAACGTTGAGAGATATCCTGCGAGTCAGGTATGAAAATAGCCCTGACAAACCTTTTGGAGGCCTTACAGTTGTATGCGGTGGTGATTTTCGCCAAATATTACTTGTTATTCCAAAGGGTACCCAAGCTGATATTGTTGATGCATCACTAAACTCATCTTATTTGTGGCCATTTTTCACAATATACGAATTGAAGCAAAATATGAGACTATGCAATGGAAAAGTAAGTGATTACGAGGCTGATCAAATTGCTACTTTTGACAAATGGTTGCTACAGGTTGGAAATGGATCATTTTACGATGATATTAACAAGGAGCTCATCAAATTGCCTTATGATGTATGCATGAAATCATCTAACGACCCAATCGGATCGATTGTTGAGGCAGTTTATCCATCTCTCCTACAAAATTACAGTGACCCAACATATCTGAAAGAAAGAGCAATACTAACGCCAAAAAATGATATGGTACATGAGTTGAACGATAGAATTATGAAAATGATACCAGGTGAAGGAAGAACATATTTCAGCTCTGACAATGTATGCAAAGCGAGCGTGAACACTAACGATGAAGAACTGTTGTACCCAACCGAATTTCTAAATAGCTTAACATTCCCTGACATCCCTAATCATGACATACACTTAAAAGTAGGTACCCCAGTTATGCTTCTCAGAAATCTAAACCAAACAGAAGGCCTATGCAATGGAACAAGATTAATTGTCAGGCATCTTGGAAATTGGTCTGTCAGCGCAAACATCATGTCCGGAAAGAACATCGNATCTGAAAGAAAGAGCAATACTAACGCCAAAAAATGATATGGTACATGAGTTGAACGATAGAATTATGAAAATGATACCAGGTGAAGGAAGAACATATTTCAGCTCTGACAATGTATGCAAAGCGAGCATGAACACTAACGATGAAGAACTGTTGTACCCAACCGAATTTCTAAATAGCTTAACATTCCCTGGCATCCCTAATCATGACATACACTTAAAAGTAGGTACCCCAGTTATGCTTCTCAGAAATCTAAACCAAACAGAAGGCCTATGCAATGGAGCAAGATTAATTGTCAGGCATCTTGGAAATTGGTCTGTCAGCGCAAACATCATGTCCGGAAAGAATATCGGTACGAGAGTCACAATTCCAAGAATCATTATGTCTCCTAACGATTCAAAGTGGCCATTCAAGCTTAACAGAAGGCAGCTCCCTTTGGCGCCATGTTTCGTCATGACAATCAATAAAAGTCAAGGACAATCTCTTAACCATGTCGGCTTGTATCTTCCGAAGCA